TGATCGATCAGATTGATCCTAGGACATGTGCTAAAGGTTTCATGTTTTGAAATCTATCTAAGTTGCACACTTCGACAGTATTATGGTAAAAAAAGTTCTAATAACAAGAATGTTTATTCGACTGAAGCGAAAGAGAAGATAGAATTTTAGAAAGAAAGAAGTAGAAGTCTTAGAAAAGAATTGAGGACGAAGGTAAAGTAAAGTACGTAGAAGAAGGTAGATTGTAGAAAAGCAAATAAACACTTTGTAAAATTAAGCAGATAAATTAAACTTCATTGAAAAGTAAAAAATGGTGTGTTTACATCACGTACATTCTCCTTGATACTTTTTTCTCTACACTCGGATACTTTGAGTAAATTTAGGAGTGACTTGCATAAATAGTAAATTACAACACCCTGAATTCTATGTCTAAGACTCCTATTTATAATAGTAAAAAATAACTATCAATAACCTCCTAAAGCCATCAGCTTATGACAAGTGTCATAATGCATGAAGTCTTTTGCCAAACGAATGCCACTTGTCCCTCTTAGTCATAGGAAATCATAACTACTCCCTCCATTATTTGAATTTCAAAAACTTCATTAATCTTCAGCCATCGTCTCGGTTGAAGGCTACTTCTCTTAAGATTCAGAATTTTCTCTAAGTCCCACAATATTTGGCTTCTCAATCGAAGGTCTCAAGGCTTAGAAAACCTCTTTACCTCTCAAAAGACTTTAATATTTTATTTAAATATTTTAATCTATATATATGTGGCGTCGAATTTATGAGCTAACACCTTCCAAACATAGTCGTTGACTATGAAGGCCTTCTTCTTGACCTTCTTGTTGTATGCTTGGGCTACTCGAACCTTCTGATGCAACAATGTGTCAAGTTCCGCCATCGTTTCTTCGTCTAGGTACACCATTTTGTCCATCATTATGCTCCAATATTGCTCTGATGGGATGTCATGTTGACGTTGGATGTGTACTGACTGTAGACGAATTTCTGCTGGCAAAATGACATTGTGACCAAATGCTAACCGAAAAGGAGATGAACCATTCGATTCCTTAGGAGACGTTTGACACGTCCATAAAATCAGGTCCAACATCTTGTACCAGTTCTTGGGTTTTTGGGCAATGTGCTTTTTAATGATCCCAATCACTATCTTGTTAGTTGCCTCGACTTGGTCATTTGCCTGGGCATAATAGGGTGTAGAAGTGATTAGTTTAAATCCTTCCTCTGCTGCAAATTCTTGCATCTTCTGGCCAATGAATATTGAGCCCTGATCCATAGTGATCATCTCAGGGGTGCCAGACCTATATAGAATGTGTTTCTGGACGAAGTTGATGACGACCTCTTGGTCTACCTTTAATAATGACACTGCTTTTATCCATTTTGTGAAATAATCTATTCCTTCGAGGATGAACTTGTGTTGTCTTGTAGAGGCAGGTTGAATCTCGCCTATCACATCCAACGCCCATCCTTGGAAAGGCCATGGCTTGACTACAGCGTGTAGTTCATCGGCTGGCACCCGCTGTATGCCTGCGTACTTTTGGTAATCTTGGCAGCCTTTTGCAAAGTCGATACAGTATTTAAGCATGCTTGGCTAATAGAATCCCTATCAAAATAGTACCCACTTCATTTTGTGTCCAGCTTGGTGGGCTCCGCATGTCCCACTATGCACCTCTGATATTGCCAAGTATGCGTCTGCTTCTCCCAGACACTTAAGCAACACCCCTTATGGCGTCTTTTTTAACAGCTCATTTCCCATTAGAACGTAACTCAACGCTTGATACTTGGTCTTTCTATCAGTGGCCGCCGTTGGTTCTCTTAGATATTCAACCATAGGTCTTTGCCAATCCGTCGTGGATAAGTCGTCAACCATACAGACTGCGCAAACTTTCCCAATTATCGCTCCAAATTTCTGTCGAGGCACCCATTGCTCCATCTTTACGCAGATAAAATGATTTGGGTATCACTTTTTCCTTAACTTCGATGAGTTCTTTCAACCTGCCTTCCGAGACTTTGTACCCAGAAGCAATTTGTGCCAGTTCATTAGCTTCTTGGTTATCTAACTTGGGCACGTGCGTAATACTAACAACCTCAAAGCGCTCCAAAAGTCGTTTCGCCATCGTGAGGTACATCACCAGATGTTCCTTGGCGCATTTATATTCTCTGGTGAGTTGTCTGATGACTAGTTAGGAGTCGCCCTTAATTTTGATGCTCTTGGCGCCCAGTCATTTAAGAATCCTCAATCTGGCGATCAAGGCTTCGTACTCCGCCTCGTTATTAGAGCATCTTTCTTCGACCCTACACTTAAACATTTTTGGATGACCCTGAGGGGAAATTATTATGACACCTATTCCGCTCTATTTTTGTGGCTCGACCCATGAAGTACAGCTTCCAGGGGTCGCGGTTGACCGTGCAAAGCTGTTGTTCGACCACTGCATGGTTGACCATGAAGTCTGCCACGACCTGCCCTTTCATAGCCCTCAGAGGGACATAGGTGAGGGAGAATTCAGTCAGTGCCAGGGCCCACTTTCCAATTTGACTGTGCAAAATGGGCTTAGACAACATATGTTTGATAACATCAAAATGCGAGGAAACGTAAACTTCGACCGGTTTAATATATTGTTTTAATTTCGTACATGAAAAATATAAGCATAGGCACAACTTCTCAATCATGGAATACCTAGTCTCAGCATTAATTAACATTCGACTAAGGTAATAAATGGGTCTTTCGACACCATTATCATCCTCCTGAGCTAACATGCTCCCTATAGTTATGTTGGACGCTGCAATGTACAACTTCATGTTTTTATTTGTACTAAGTGGCAACAAAACATGAGGCCTTGTGAGATATTCTTTAATGGTGTCAAAAGCCTCTTGTTGCTCTTGTCCCTAGTAGAACTCGCTTTCCTTCTTGGCTTTCAGCAATGGAGAGAATACCTTCGTCTTGCCACTTAGATTTGATATGAATCTTCTCAAGAAGTTAATCTTCCCCAGCAATGACTGGAGTTACTTTTTTGTCGAAGGAGGCTTGAGATCCAGAATTGCCTTTGTTTTGTTCTGATTTATCTCAATGCCTTTCTTGTGGACCACAAACCCCAGGAAATCTCCTGCATGTATGCAAAAAGCACACTTTAGTGGATTCATTTTTAATCCATATTTCCTCATTCTCTCAAATGAGTGTCGAAGGTGGTCCAGATGGCCGACCTCTGACAATGATTTTATAAATACGTCGTCAATATATACCTGCATGAACTTTTCAATGAAATAATGAAAAATAGCGTTCATAGCTCTTTGATAGGTTGCTCCAGCATTTTTTTAACTGAATGACATTACCACTCATTCATAAGTTCCCAATGCCCCTGAGCATTGGAACGCCGTTTTGGGAACATCTTCCTCAGTTATGAAGATCTGGTTATATCCAGAATATTCGTCGAGCATGATTAGATATTCAAAACCAGCGGCTGAATCGACCAACATTTCTGCCATGGGCATTGAATACTCGTCTTTAGGGGTGACACTATTCAAATTTCTGAAATCTATGCAGACTCTCAAGGTGCCATTTTTCTTGACGACTGGGACTATGTTCGCCAACCACTCGACATACCTCAATGTGTGGATGAACCGACTTTGTAGCAATCTTTCAATCTCCTTCTTGATTTTTAGCGTAACTTCTGGGGCGAATTTATGTGGTTGTTGCTTCACTGTCTCCTCCCTGGTTGGATGGGCAATCAGTGTTCTACAACCTTACGACTTAGCCCTGGCATCTTGCCGTAATCCCAGGCGAAACAATCCTTATACTCTTTCAATACCTCAATCAGTTTGGCTCTCATCTTCGAACCAAACTTGGTATTCAAGTATGTAGGCCTTTTTGTGGTTCCATCCCCTAAATCAATCTCTTCGAGCGGGTCTTGCGTTTGTATCCTCTGCAGCTCGCAGGATGGGTTTTTCTCAAACCCCAAAGGCTCGTCGTCGTAAATGCAGTCGAGCCTCCGACTTTCTGAAGCTGTTGTCTGGCCTTGTCGGCCACTCGTACATATATTGTTGGCGGTCTCACTGTTCTTTTCCTTTTCGAGCGCCGCCTTTCGTTTATTTTCAGCCAAATAGGCCGAAATTCGAGTTAGACTTCCTGACTCAGCAACCATCATTATCTATAGGGGGCCACCCTATGGGTGAGCAACTTTGTGATGACTCCATTTTCCGCCGAGCAAAACCCCTTCGTCAGCTGCCTCATTCGTCGACCTGGTCGATCGTCCTATGTCCAAATCGACCCATACGTCTTCTCCTGCGTTGTCGACTCAGAACACCTTTTTTTCTTCCTCTACTTTCTTGTTGAGCTCGACCTTTTCACTTGTCGATACTTTGAGTTGACTTTTTTCAACCAACATCAAAATGATAACCTCTTACTAATTTTCTCCTATAAAAACTCAAAGTTTTTGCGTTAAAGTATGAAAACAACCAAGTAACATATAAAAACCCTAGATTTATCTAGAGTAATACTTCCCTTAATATCTTTATTGGAGACAATTGAATTTTACGCTTAAGAACACTTTTGATTTAGTAATATTCATTTAAAAATAAAAATAAGAAACATGACAACCTCCAAACAAAATGAGAATGTTATTAATCTATAACAAATTGAATAAATTATCAATCTCCAATTCTAAAATAACACGCGACATTTTATTCTTTAATTTATTTTTCTTAAAAAAAACATTTTTTTCCACTCGAATAACAAAATGTACAAATTAACCTTTTCACGTAGAAATATTAGATATGTGAATATTCAATAGTCATAAGTTTGTGTGGATGATGTTGAATATTGTCCACGGTGTTAGTTTTGGATATTTTTAGTTGTTTCAGTTATCCCCTCTAATGAACATGAAACAAGCAAAAACTCTTCTTCACTGTAAAATCTAACAAACCGATAACAGCTAGTATCAGATAAGGAAAGGTAACGCACTCAACACAATCCATTCTTCATCCTTCAATCTTCATACTTCACTCCCAAGATGCACTCTCTCTCACCATCCATCAATCTCAAATTTCTCAACGGTAAAATCCTTACCTCACCCTCCTCCTCCTCCACCAATCACCACCACCTTAAACCAATCTCAGCCGTCGCCAACAACTCATCCTACCGCAAAAAACAACAACAGCTGCAACAACAACCACAACAGCAATTATATCAACCCTTCCGACCCCCACCAACTCCTCTCCCATCAAGATTCCAGAACCTCGACATCCCAGGTCGAATCGACATCCTTTCTAACCGTCTCGGCGTATGGCACGAATACGCACCTCTCATAACCTCCCTCATGCGCGAAGGCTTTTCGCCTCCTACAATTGAAGAAACCACCGGCATTAGCGGCGTTGAACAGAATCGCATCATAGTCGCAACTCAAGTTCGCGACACTCTCGTTCAGTCCAACCTCGACGAAGACATTCTCTCTTACTTCGATAACGGTGGCGCTGAGGTTTTATACGAAATTCGTCTCCTCAGCGGTCCGCAACGCGCCGCCGCCGCGTGTTTTCTTGTGGAGAAGAGGTATGATGGGAAAGGCTCTCAGGATCTCGCGCGTGCTATAAAGGATTTTCCGAGTAGACGCGGGGAGAAGAATTGGGAGAGTTTTGATTATACTCTTCCCGGAGATTGTCTCGCTTATATGTACTATAGACAGAGTAAGGAACATAGAAACCCTTCTGATGAGAGAGTTTCAGCGCTTGAAAAAGCGCTCAGTGTTGTGGAAAGTGAGAATGCTAGGAAGGTTGTTTTTGAGGAACTGAATGGGAAAGGTGAAGGTGAAGAAGGAGAGATTGAAGCTATTGCGTTGAAGGTGCCTGTTCCAGTGGTGAGGTTGCAGATTGGTGAAGTGGCGGAGGCGAATTCGGTGGTTGTTTTGCCTGTGTGTAAAGCTGAGGAAGGTGTTGAAGTGATTTTGGCAGCACCTTCTGAGATTAGGAATGAAGGTGTGTTTGGTATTGCGGTGGCGGAGAAAGGGTGGGAAAAATGGGTGGTGTTACCGGGTTGGGGACCGGTGGTTGGTTTGGGGAAAGGCGGTGTAGTTGTGTCGTTTTTGGATGCTAGAGTTTTGCCATGGAAGGCGAATAGATGGTATAAGGAAGAACCTATATTGGTGGTGGCTGATAGGAGCAAGAGGAAAGTGGAGAATGATGAAGGATTTTATTTGGTTAAAGATGAAGGGAGTGATGTTGGTTTAAAGGTTCAAAGGGGTTTGGTTTTGAAGGAATTGGGTGTTACTGAGTGTTTAGGGAATGTTGTTTTGGTTGTTAGGCCACCTAATGAGGATAATGATGATCAATTGAGTGAGGAAGATTGGGACTGAAACCAAGAGATAAAAGGATTATAGGAATTTTAGTCAACTGAGTTTCAACCGTTTTCCACTTTTTTCCTGTGTTTTTTGGTCATGCGGAACATGGATTTATTAATTTGGGTTTAGTTGCAATTTTGAATTCTCATTTGCTGTGCCTAATTAATAGAAGGATTTGATCATTTTTGTTTTCTCTATGTCTTGTACCATTACCTTTTACTTGGTTAAAGGTAAATAATATTGCCGATTGTTGCATTAAACATATATATTAAGTTTAGTCATCTGTGTTGTCTTTGGTTCACAAATATATTGGCAAGTTTATGATATATGCATTTATTATCAGTGGAATTTGGTGATTTTAGTATCATCAATGTATTTTAGTAGTAATGTGATTTATTGTAGGCCGATCCAATTATGCGTTAAGCTTGGAAACGAGTTAGGATAGTGCGGAGTGCACGCTTGTCGAGCCAACGTGCAATTGAATGCGAATAATTGAAAAGAGATTCCAAGAGACGAAGCCCCTGGCGGGGTGCGGGGCAGCGCCTCGCTGGGGTTCCAAGGGGTAGAGCCCTTGGCTGGGGTTCCGCTGAACAGTTGAACCGTTCGAAATTTTTTTGAACAGTTGAACCCGTTCGAAATTTTTGAACAGTTGTGTCTTTTCAGTTTCTGTTATTAATCTCCTACATAAGGAGTCATTTGGCCTCAATTTTAACAGAAAAAAAAAAATAACGAAAATCATACTTTCTCTCTACATTCCTAATCTGTTCTCTATTGGCAGAAGCAGATTATTCTTCAAGAATTATCCTCACAAAGATTTCGTGAACCCAGACAAATAATAGGGTCGAAATACTTTGTTCGGAAAGTGTACGAACACGATTTCTCGAAGATATCCAGGATTATCATTCACAATTTTCTAAGAACTTGTTTATGCATCTCTTTGGTACAAAATTGATAGATTCTGCTCATGAACCTGGCTATAACAATATAAACTAACATCTGCAATTTGCAAGCAGTTCCGTTACCATTATACCAGCTTATCAATTAGAATGACAAAGAAAACATTTGGGTTTGACAGTATTGATCACCCCTAGACTATGAAATTTCTTGCCTAATAGCATTATAAGTTGTCATTTTACTATAAAATGGTGGTATTAGATCTGCGTACTTTAAGATAGCAGTGAGAATTACAATGTCTGCAACAATGTACTAGTAGTGATTTTCATCAGGGAAAAACTTAAAGCCTTTGACCTAAGAGAAGATACCATGGTGAGGTTAAGTGTAGCTTATGCTTAAGTTATGTCTTAACACAAAATAATGAGCACAACACCATACATACGTGGAGAGGATGAGTGTTAAATAACTAAGTCATCAAAGGCAACAGACATGCTTCACATTGGTAACTAAAACCTCAAACAAATCAAAGCGGGTTTTGAAGAGGTGAACATATGTTGATAGATATTCCTAAAACCCTCAAGCATAAGCAGAGTAAAAGGATCTGATTGGAGTGGACGCTAACAATCTTTCAGCTCACTGGTTTGAAAAGTGCCTCCAAGCCTTTAATATGTACAGTGCCATTCACATTACAGAGTTTTGAAAAGTTGTACATATCAATTGAGAGAAAGATAATATCGATTAGAAAATGAGAGGGAATTGAAAGTAGCACCTCAATCTGATCCTGATGCTGAAAGTTGAATGAATCATTTGATCTTTAGCTCAAACAACTTTAGATAAACTGAAAACTTATCATCAAGATTATGAAGTTATGCCAAACCCGCAGGCATTAAGCACTTGCATCTTTGACAAAGTGCCCTTTTTAAAAAACAGAGTACAACTTCAAACATCAATACAATATTTTTCAATTGTTTAATTATACTGAAATATAAAATATTATCAAAAGTTTTTGTTAAAACTGAGGACCTTAAACCTACACTAATAATTAAAATGGAGTTCAACTGTTCAAGTCTTTTGTTGATAACTTTTGAAATTGAAATTCACAATTGATTGCCAGAATAATAATGTACAAACCCTTCTGCAACATTTATAACTTTAAAGTTATAACCATGTTTGCTCGGTCCAAATCGATAGTCAGACCATTTTACTTGCACCAACAGATGCATAATCACATTTTGCAAAACATGATTTCATGCTTTGGTGATAAACTTATAACTTAAATTTACGAATAGAGGGAAGAAAATCAAATTTTATAAAGCTTCTACCAGTGTTTAGGGGGAAACTCAGTCAGGAGAGATGTCTGAGACCTATTATAAGTTACAACACTAGCAACAAAGTGAAGAAAACATTTACTCTTCTTGTCTTGACCATTTTGAAGTTTCTTTTGATTTACCACCATCCTCTATTTCTCTTACAGAAAATGTCACAAGAAAACCTAACCAAGCCATTGTGTGGCACGCCGGTCTCCACTACCTCCAACAGAATGCCTGATGCTAATCTTCTCGGTAGAATATTTTTGTTGAAGCCATTCAAAAGCATTTACATCAAGTTTTCCATTAACTGACTTTCCTTGCCTCCTGCGAGTCTGTTGCTCCCGTATGGAAGCCCACAATTTCTCTACGGCATCCCTTTGATGAGCTGTAAATCTTGCCACATTATCAGAGGCATGCTTCACTAAAATATCAATTACAGTTTGGCACCTATGTAGAGAAAATTAAAGCAAGGACAAATAATGTCAAAATGACAAACATAAGTAAAAAATAAATACATCAGAACATAGTAGCAGCATTTACCAAGGTGTTTTATACCGCCGAGCAGCAATCTCTAGACAAGTTATCAGGGCTTTTCTTTGTAACTTAAGGATTCGCTTAGTTTCTTCCTCATCTTCCTTCCTTATATTGATAGCTCCGTCATTCTTTGCACTTTTCTTTGTGGATTCAGGAATCAGAGCATCAAGTCCAAATGGATCAGCTTCCTCCACACCATTATTATCCTCTTTTGTGGCAAGCGTTTGACCACCTTCATCTACTGTAACTGTAATATCTTTCAGAGAAGTTGCTTCTTCTGTGTCATCCTCCTCTGTCGCAACCGGAAGGTTAGATATAGCTTCCTTGATTTGCGTAGCTGCTTTCGAGAACTGTATAAGTATTGAGAAAGAAAAGAATGAGAAACAAATACAATCCTTATGGACCCAAATATCCAAAGTAAATCACGTCAAAATAGAAAACAATATTCCAAATCTAAATCCAGTAACTAAGCAAAAGATACACATGTCACAGCTGAAAAAAATCCAGACAACGTTTTCACAGCAATTGATTTGATGCATTATTATATAGCCTCTCCAAAATAAATGACGTCAAGCATTCATTCATTAACAGAGTGCCAAGCTGAGAATTCATCAACCTGATTGTTAAGTTTTCTTTATTAACCTAACTGTAAAACTTAATCACCACTCAAAAGAAGAAAGTTGCACCTTGCAACTAGGCCAAACTTCAGCTACCCCAAAACTTGTTGGAGTCAGTCCATGAATTAGATTGAAGGGTAACACATGTCAAGCACTGATAGCCAATCCCTCACTACACATCTGTAACAAAAAGCATGGAATGGATGAACTCAATGGATGACTGTATTGAGAATAATGAAGCTTATCAATCTGTCATCCACTTAACAACTTGTCTCAGAGTCCCTTTTGAATAATGACCCTTTCCAATATATCTTGACATATACCAGAATAATAAAATCTTTAAAAGATTACATTGACACATTTAGATCAACCTTTGGTCAAACTTCAAACACATAATGAATTGATATAAAAAATGACCCCTTCAAAGACAGCTACATTAAAGCAACAACACTGGATGAAGAGTATGAATTGTATGCAAAGAAAAGAACAGTACATCTACAACAGTGCACTTTCATTTGTGATGCATGGAACAGCATTACATCTCAAAATCTGTTGCATATCGTCCAATATGCTTCTCATTGCCTTGAATAAAAAGGAAATTACATGGTTTCAGGAGTTTAAATGAGCAACTTCAAAATAAAATTTAAGCAAGAACCGTACCACAAAGCTATCATCTGTATATAAATCATTCGCTACCACAGCACTAATTATCCATGTCGCCAATTGATTCTTCTGCTTTTTATTGAAGTGCTACAAATAACAGACAAAATAGGGTCAATAAAATATTTACTGTAAATACAATTGCTAAAGCTATAAATAATTTGAGCAGATGTAAATCTTACTTCTTTCGCATCTTGAACTGCTGAGAACAAAGAATGATAATCTGCCCGCACCGAAGGATCTGTACATGGTACGGGCGATAGCATTGCAGCTTCTAATATTGCAAAAAAATAATCACTAACGCCAGACTTAACACTTCCTGCCTCAATCAACTGAATGGCAAGCTTTGCAGCCTTGCTGAATTTCGCAGGGTTCTTGATATGGGAAGATATCTTTTTCATAGCATCGATAACTTGAGCTTCGGAAGCATCCGTGGAGGTTTTAAATTTCAAACTCTTTTTAGGTGCTGCAACTCAAATTGCAACACAAACTCAATTGGAAGCGAATACATAAGCTATAACTGCATAATTAACATGATAGAGCGTAAAATTGTCTAACTTAGGGTTTATTAAAAAAATGAAGAAAAAGAAAGTGTGAAATAATCGATTAGAAGTGATTTATGTACCTTGGGTGTCATCGGATTGAGTAGGGTTAGGTCGTTTGAGGGAACTTTTGAGAATTGGCTTTGGTATGGAAGGAACGGTAGATGATTCGGCGGTGGAAACCGAAAGAACCGGTGGTGGTGGTGGTGGTGGTAATTGGAAGTGTGTGTTGGAAGAAGGAGGAGGCAATCCTTCGAACAAATCGTCTGCCATCTCTGTTCCTTACTGCTATTTTCTGATTGGGGAAAGGGAGAAGGGAAATATTGTTCTTCGACTGCGTTCAAATACAAACGACTGCGTGTTATTCTCGTTTTACTCCCAAAAGTAAACGACGTGATAGGGCATAATATGTCTTGTTCCCAAATAAAAATGAATTTAATTGCTGTAAATTTTTCACACAATAATTTAATTTCAATTCTTGATTTATTTATAAGATTTGATTTTTATTTTAACCATAATTCTGATATATTGATTGTGTAAAATTTTTTATATTAATAATATATAATAATTAATCTCAATAAAAAGTCTCAGTAATCTGCAACAAATACAATTTGTGTTATATTGTATCAATTTTAAAATAAGGGTAATGATAAATAAGAGCACGTGTTAAAATACAGATTTATAAAATATTTGTATTTAAAACATTAATAAAAAGATTAAATTTTTTATTTTTATTAAAAATAATATACAATCTTCAGAATATTATTTCTATATCCCTTCTCAAATTTAAAATAAAACTATATGTAAACTTTTCATTTAATAAAGTTTAATTTAAATTGATTTTTTAGCATTCAAATCGCAATTCTTATATTAAGGGTTGAGTCATGATATTGATGGTTCTCTTTAAAATATTTTACTATATTTACACAAATTAATCACTATTATGAATAAAAATTTATTCTCCCTCTTGTTCCCAAATAAAGATTCACAACAGCCCGCAACAAATATAATTTGTGTTACTATGAAACCAAAAATCATAATGAAATATAAATATCAAATAAAATAAAATAAAACAAAGTTGTGATATTACAAAAATTATCTAAAAACATATAACTAAGAATTAACGACAATAAATTAAAAATAGTAATTTATTATTTGATAGTGGGTTAGTAGTTTTTCTTACATATGTGTAAAAGTGTTTTTCTTAGTAATAAGCTATTAAATTTAATTTCACAATTCAATATATAATTTTTAAAACTATATGGGTTAGTTTTATCATTACTTGTTAGAGGGCTAAAGATTTTTTTAATTAGATTTACTAAGTATTTTTTTATTAATTAATTATTATTTATAAAAATGAATAATCTTTTTTAATTTATCATTTTATTATTGTAATTGTTATTTATTTAATTGGAAACATGGGTTTACTTTTTATGTATTAGTTTTTATATATGTTCGATGATTATTTTACTATAAAAGTAATGAGTTAATTATTTTAAATTTTAATTAGTAATTGTTATTGAATTAATTAGTCATATACTAATCATTTTTATAAAAATTTATCATCAATTCATATTGAAGGTGAAAAAATACACAAGAAGTGGATTGAATTGTGTTCTTCAATTCGCGATACTTCTTAACAGAGTTCAGGTTCTGATAATATGGATGCAGCAAAATAATAATCAAAAGCAAGTAAATGACAAATACGCACACAAAATTTATCATGATTCCTCTCAATCCGAGAGTAATTCAGCCCCCTTGCATTATAAGAGATTTTTTACTATAATCAAATAATGATTACAATTGTTTATGCCCTCAAGCATAAGACTTTTCTTTGCTCAGACCTACAGCCTAAGACTTGCCTGCATAATCAGCACTTGATCAAGGCTTCCTACTTAGATCCTCATATCCTAAGACTTTCCTGCTTATACCCTCAAGTACAAGACTTTCTGCTCATACTCATAGCCTAAGGCTTTCAAGCGAGTAAAGAACTGAACATACCTTTTGTTTATATTTTTTCTTGGTCAAGCTTCAGTAGAGTATTCAAATTTGACCATGGAATCTGAATTCTGACTTAAGTGGATCTTGAGTCAATGGTACTTATACCAGTGATTCCACTTTCTTCTCCAAAATTCACACTTTTTGCATCTTTCAGCTTTTGAGTTTGGTATGTAAGTTTTTCTTCCATCATATGTTGTAAGCAACCACTGATCAAGAATCATGGAAGACGCCTTGCTCCTTTCTTTTATAATATCTGCACCAAATACAATTTTGAATTTTGGTACCCATATCTTTGTGGCTCATAAATTATTAGTTCTAACAGACTTTATTTTACTTCATGCCTTAGTATGACAGTAGTGTCTTGATTCATTCCAGAATTTAAATCTAGGATGAGTTTTGGTTGTAACAAAACATGTTTTTAGCAGAGTCTTTAATTTCATTATCTTGGATTCATCTATTATCGAATCTTTTGACTTTATAATCCTTAATTTTGAAATCTTTGACTAGCATAAATTCAAATAGTGCTTGCTATCAGAGGTTAGCATAAAATAAGTTTTCAGCACTGTCTGATTATTGCCAGAATAAAAAGAATTGAAAGGTTTCTCAAGGAATTGTTCTTTAGCACAAATTCTATGATAGCCTTCAACTTTCTTAGGAGTCATGGAGTCACTTAAGATTTGATCTTGAGAAGCAGACTTCTTATTATCAAAACAAAATTTCAAGATACTCGATTTTCTCTTGAGAGATTTTTAGATCTTCTTTTAGATGATCAATTTCTAGCTTCATGGTTCTAGCTTGTTTGTTAAAACAGCTTGAGAGATTAGGATAATCAATTGAAATGTAATTATTGTTGTAGCTTCTTAAGTTACTTTTTTCATCAACAGATTTGTCATTCCTTTTAGTTAGTTGATAGAATCTTTTGATAAGGAAGGTCATTTCCTCATCATCAGACATTCCATAGGAATTTTCTTTAACAAGCTTGAGAAAAGTTAATTTCTTTGACATCCCATCTTCATCTAATTCCATTTCATTACTTTAAAGATTGTTAATCAAACTTTCAAGACTCATCATGTTTAAATTTTCCACTTCTTGAATACTAAATAGTTGTGACTTTCGATCTGAATCTAGCAAGCAGTCTTCTCAGAATTTTCTTAGAAAGATTAAATAAAGTGTAACTTGATAAGCACTCGTTGATTCCCTTCATATTTAGAACACAAGGGTTCAAAGATAGTCTTAGCAGTAGACTTATCAATGATTTTGATATACTCAGAATGAGGTAGAGCATCTACCAGAATGCCTCTAACTCAATGTTGACTTCAATAAAGCTTCTTCTGAGATGGTGTGAGAGATTTTCTATCTTTGATCATCCAAATACCATCAACTTCTATAGTGATACCTTCTTCAAGGATATTCATAGTTCTCCATCAAAACTTTTTATCAATATCAATTATATATGAGTAAGCTTTGCTTTTTCACCATTCAAATTCAACAAAGTCACCACTGAAGATGGGAGGATTAACATATCAAAATTTTTTTATATGGTACTTGATTCCTTCTTGAAAAATTATCAGCAGACATATTTTTATCTTTGGATCATTATCTGCACCACTTTTAAGTGTTATGCATAAACCACACTCTGATGCCAACTGAAGGTGAAAAAAATACACAAGAAGTGGAAGTTGAATTGTGTTCTCCAATCTGCGTTGCTTTTGAATAGAGTTCGGATTCTAAATAATCTGTTCAAATTTTGATAATATAGATGCAGCAGAATAATAATCAGAAGTAAGTAAATAATAAATGAACACACATAATTTATCATGGTTCCTCCCAAACCGAGAGTAGTCCAATCCCTTGGCAACTCAAGAAATTTTCCACTATAATCAAACAACGATTACAATTTCTTATACCATCGAGCATAAGACTTTTCTTTGCTCAAACCTACAACCTAAGACTTGCCTGCTCAATCAACACCTGATCAAAACTTTCTGCTTAGATCCTCAAATCCTAAGACTTTCCTGCTTATGCCCTCAAGTATAAGACTTCCTGTTCAGACTCACAGCATAAAACTTTCCTGCTTATATTTTACGAATCCAAGACTTCCTTCTTAAATCTCACGAATTCAAGACTTCCTACTCATACCCTCAAGTACAAGATTTCCTACTCAGATTCCACAAATCCAAGGCTTCCTGCTAAAATTCCACGGATTCAAAACTTCTTGATCATACCCTCAAGTACAAGACTTCCTTCTCAGATTCCACGAATTCAAGACTTCCTTGCTTAGGCCTACAGTTCAAAACTTCATTGCTTAGTCAATAATTTGACCAAGGCTTCAATGCTCAAGCACATAGCAAGAGACTTACTTGGCTCAAGCTCACAACAAGAGACTTTGATGCTCAAGCACATAGTAAGAGACTTTTTTTCTAAACTACAAAACAACTTGTTTAGCAGAATATACAACAAGGTATACTTGATATACAATAAGAGGTACAGGGCAATAACTATAGCATAAATAATAGTACTTAAGATTTATAAGATATTCATTGTTTAAGAAATCTTAAGGCTTTGTACAATTTCCAACAGATAACAAAAACTCTGCATACTTGATGTTGGTGGTGATCTTGTTATTCTTCCATTTTGATAAAAGCGTGAAACACTCTTTTTTCTGTTTTGGCCCCCTTTCTTTTTTTTTTCCTTGTTGATTCTTCAGATTAAATCTTCAGCTACTTAAATAGCATATACAACATAATAGTCGTTGGAAGAGATAACTTGCATAAATGTCTTTGTTACTCCATAGTATTGAGAGATGTTGAACATAGATACACAAAAAGATCTTTATCCATTGTGTAACTTGTTTAACCGTAGTGTCTTCCTTGTGAACTGTACTATAGATATGTTAAGAGTGGATATCTGTAAAGTATGTTAACTCTTTTTGATCCATGTGAACGCAAACTTTAACTAACAAACTGATTTATCATTGTAGCTTACTTTATATAGTATAAATCACTTAGCTTTGTCTATGGTTCTAAGTGATCATCAGAAGATGATACATTTTATAAGTGCAAGGATAATATATTACTCTTCTGATGCTGATATGTTCAGCTTTAGAGTCTACGCAATCTTATATCATCATACTTCACTTAAGAACGTTCTTCAATTCTGAACCATCAGAAGTTAAGAACTCAACTTCTCCCAAATCAATCTTTTAACACATTCTGAATAGTTTTTCTTTAAGCTTTGGAACCTACATACTTAGAACGAACATTAGACAACAC